ATAAATTATTCATGAATTATACTGTTGATTACACTTCATCCAAACTAATTGTTTGCTTTAAATATTCTATCTTGTCAGAAACCTTCTCAAAGTCCCATTTTATATAGAATGCACTTTCCTCATAGAATCTTTATTTATAATTCAAGATCGCATTCAAATTCTACACACCTTCTTCCTCATCCTGAACGTCATAGGCAGCATACAGTATTGGTTAAAGTAAGCCCTTGGGAGTCAGCTCCCTAGAATGTGAGTGCCAGCTCTACCCATTTACCAGGGTATACAGCCTTAGACATGTTTCTTTGCCTGTCTGGGCCACGGTGTCTTCATCTATAAAATGGGCTTAAATTCTATAATTTACATAAAATGGTTAGCAGAGTGTTTAACAAATAGTAGATGCTTAACAAACATCCATTCCAATCACAAATATTTCAGCAGTGCCCTTGAGAGTACCTTAGCTGCCCTCCCCCTGCCCCTCCACATCTCATCTGCAGGTAACCCCCACTCTGCTATCCCTACCAAGGCTGCTCATTCTACTTTGGCTGCCCACTTTGTGCCCAGGATTTCTTAGTCTACAGTTCTAGCTCATACTCTCTCTTGGGAGCCCATTTTCACCTGAACTTCTTACCTGGCTTCATAGTAGCACCTCAGTTAAATTGTGTTCAAAACCAAACTCATCACCTCCTCTCAAGCCCACCTCTCTTCAGTAAATGACAGCTCCACTGTTATTGTTAATTTTGATAAGGGGTTTAGTTTTAGTTTAATTTTAAAAGTAAATGCAGTGCTAGAAATCACATTTCCATTCTGCCATTGCTGGGGATGACAAAGCATGTGGAATCAAAAATTAGTTGAAATTGATTCCAACTTAGTAGGAGAAAGTCTCATGCACAGGATCAGCCCCCATCCATTTTTCCCCTACATTCAGAATCATCTTAGCTTTGTCTAGTAGGTAGTATGCCAAGTAGAAATTGAATAAGTGATAAAGGGGCATTAAATATTTGCCTAATGTTAATGCTAAGTTGTTGAGGAATGTCAAGGGTTATTTCTTCATGGTATACTAAAACAATCTTTTGTTGTTGAATATAAGATCTCTGTAAGAACTTTGAGGTAACTTGGGAAACTCTACCATGATGTGCAGCTATTACCAAAGCCAGCCTTCTCTGAGGAGGAACATATACCTATTAGTCCTTACCTACCAGGAAAGCTGCAATAAAACACAGGGAGCCTATCCCAGGCTCAGTCATACCCAGATGTGTCAGTTCAAGGACGCTCAAGCCCATTTACATGCACCATCTCTTGGCTTTTGCCTCTGTCAGGTATGGGCCTCTGAACAATAACATGGGCTTGCCCACTCAAACTGAGAACCAGGCCCACATCCTCGAGTTTGGCCTGAGGATCTGTCTTTGGCCTAGTTTCCTGGCTTTCTTGTATAGTAGTCTCTCCTTATCCACAGGGGATACATTCTAAGACCCCCAGTGGATGTCTGAAACCACAGACAGTACCGAACCCAATTGCCATCAATCAGAACACATTTCTGTTCGTGTCTTCCATCCACAAATTTAATGCTTTTTCCATCTTAACTAAGCACATTGCAAGCACTGTGGCTGGAACTTTTGCAGTTCGAGATACAACAACAAAACTAGCACAAATACTTATCATTGTGTTATAATTGCCTACAGTATTCAGTACAGTAACATGCTGTACAGGTCTTTTTCATTCTTCACAATTTTACTGATACATGATTCCTTCTTATCATAAGTCTTATCAACCTCACCATATAATTTTTTTTTCCCTTAAGTCAAGAACTTTCACCTTTTCACTTAAAGGAAGTACTTTATAGCTTCTTTTGACCATATTTGACTTGTCACCATCACTACTCTTGCCCTTTTAGAGCCATTACTAAGTAAAATAAAGGTCTTGGCACATATTACCCACAGATAAAGAGGGACTACTGTTTATTTTAGCATCAAAAGTTTGAGTTATTTCTCCTATATACTGTCTTTGGTAGATATATAATAACTTAGACAGAGTATTGTTATAATCGTTATAATTAGATTTCTACCTATAATGTTTAACAAAACAAATATTTCTTTAGTACACTGTAGTAAGGCTGGAGTGACAAAGACTAATTCCAGAGTATTGCTGACAAAGAGCCTTTACTTTAAAGGACAGATGTGTAAACAAAGAATCACAATAAGATGAGGGTGAGGTATGTCCAGAGCAACAGAAGCATAGGAAAAGTATAGTCAGGCATGGCTTAACAATGGGGACATGTTCTGAGAAATGTGTTGTTAGGCAATTCCATCATCGTATGAACGCCATACTTACACAACCTAGATGGTATAGCCTACTACCCACCCAGACTATGTGGTACAGCCTATTGCTCCTAGACTATAAGCCTGTGCAGCAGGTTACTGTCCTGAATACTGCAGGCAATTGTAACACAATTGTGAGTATTTGTGTATCTAAACATATCCAAACATAGAAAAGCTACAGTAAAAATACGGTATTATAATCTTGTGGGACCGCTGTCATATATGCAGTTGATTGTAGACCAAAACATCATTATGTGGCATATGACTGTACATCTGGCAGAATCAGGGAGGCTTCACTGTAAGAAGTAGCCTTTGAGCTAAACTTGAAGGATAAATAGGAATTTCCCAGATGGATGAAGTAGAAGGAATGGTGTTTGGGGGGGTGGGGGGAAGAAGAAGAAAAGAGAACATTAAGAGCAAGGCTAAATGTGGGAAAATACCAGTAGTTTTTGTATTACTCTACTAAGAGTATAAGAGGAGAAGGTGGCCAGACTGAAAAGCAAGGAGCAGATCGATCATAGAAGGTTGACGGTCATGGAGAGAAGTAGCAGTTTTTATTCTCTACACAGTGTAAGGCCATTAGAGAAATTAAAGCAGAAGAATGACATGATCGGTTTACTTCCTGAAAAATTCACTTTAGTAACAATATGAAGTATGAATTGAAGAAAAATTAGATGAGAAAGAGAATGAAGGAATAATTATAATGTTCCAGGTCAGAGACGATGAGGGTCTGCACCAAGGCGGTGGGGGAGAAAACAAGACAACTAGGGAATGATCGAGCAGAGAAACATGTAGCAACATTAGTTAGCCACAAAACCTTTTACTCTCCTAGATTCTTGATCTCCCCACCTGCCTTTTCTCTAAATTAAAACAAGATAACTAATAGCTTTCAATTTATGATATGGCTTTTTACTTACTTCATGTAAACAGATACTTTGCATTATTTTTTTACAGTTTCGCATCTGGATCATACAATGAAAAATAGTAGGAAGTGCTCATAAATTTTATTAAATATTTCAACTTCATCATGAAAACTTCAAAGTTAAAATCATATCCATCCAGCTCTTCCGTGAGCTTTGGGTCTGGAATTTATTTTTAGTGAAGTTGTAATGTAAAATCACCAGTAAAATTGCCACGGTTAATCCACATTACACATTCTAACATCATCATGATTCTGCATTAGGTATAATTATTCATTTCTCTTTTTCTTTGCTCTTCCCTTAGCAGGACTCAAGAATTGTGACTTACTAATTACTTTTTTTTGGTCTATAAGTACTATTCATCATGACCTGCTTGTCTCGTATACTTCACGGAAAGACAATGTTTACATTCCATAGGGAAAAAGGAAGAATGTAAGTGGATTTCCCTAGGTTTATAAACATGGACATTCATACATGTATACACATTCATATACAAACATACAAATATATCTATTATACCAACAACATTCAATCTTTATGATGTATATCTAGCAGATTAATGGCTGCTAAAGACCAATTTGACCGTTCCATCACATTGATTATAATATCCAGAAACTTTGATCCATCTCCCTATAATGTATATAAAAAGATATAGAATGGTTTGGCCAGATGTTTTTTAAACTGTTTTATTTTTCATAAATTAGAAAATATATAATAGGAAATTCAAAGCTTAAAAGGAAAATGTGTCTAGGTCAATAGTACTAAGTAGTATGGCATATTATTAATAACTTTTCTAACATAATGTACCTTAAAAATTATTTTCTAAAATCCATTAATTCTGTGCAACATTTTATAAATATTTTACTGTCCATGAGATATTTACTATTAAAGTATCATTTTAAACATTTGCTAGGTACATCTAATTTCTCTTACCTTCACTTCTTCATTTCCCAAAACAAGAGAGCACAGTCCTAAAACTGTATAAAATACCTACCTAAGATCATGATATTAACTTATGTGTCTTTAAGTCAGCATTCTCCAGAATCTAATTTAATTGAAATAGCTTTGCCTGTGTAAACTTTGCCTTTGTTTAAATAAGATTTCACTGTTTAGTTTTGCCTTAAGCAAATGCAGCCTTTTGTTTGTCCATAAAACATTAGATTAAATGTATAGACTAATATGAATAGCTTCTCATCCTCTCACACGTATCACTGGCAGTTGCCCCCTTTGCTAGTGTGTGGTGTATTCTTGTCATTGAAAACCAGGACGCTATCTGTAGCCTACTCTTTGGGGAAAATAAATTTTTGTCAAGAAATCTTATCTCCTTGCCATTATTGATTTTAAATTTGAAAGACTTCTTGAGATTTACTCTTTAAATGCAGCCACTAATGTTCTTGATACAGTGAATTATATAAGTATTTGCTCTCATGTACTACATTGGCTTATCTTTGTGTTATTACTGGGTATCAGTATTATCTAGCTATCTTTGCTACCCTGTAAAAGCTTAGTATTTGGCCCTGTGTTACAAAGTAACATACAATAAATGCTATGGGAGATTCAGTTTATTCCCTCTAACCCTACTGTAGTTTATTTTCTGGTTTCTATTTTGATGAATAATAATTGAGAATCTCTGAATTCTCCGAATTCTCTCTATTGAGAATAATAGAATCTCTGGTTTCTCTGTTTTTTGTTAAATCTAACATCAGAGTCCCAGTGGAGAGGGCAAGTACCATGATATTCTTGTAACATGTGCATTTTCCTTATTCAGGCAATGCTGGATGTGGCTGCAAACCAGGGCTGGCTGGTGACTGCCCTGAATATTACCAATCTGGTTCAAATGGTGATCCAGGGTCGGTGGTTAAAAGACTCTTCTCTTCTTACAGTACCAAACATAGAACACCACCATCTTCACCTTTTCAGGTAATTATTTTAATTTTTGATGTAATTGTTTTGTTTTAATTTCAAAAAAAAAAATGTATATGTGTGGTCACTGGAACTTTCTGTCATGCCTAGAATATTGATTATTTATGGTGAAAGGCCCCTATTTCTCAGAGGGAGTTAAGGCCTAGTGATGTAACATTGTTATTTTGAATTTGATTATCAGTCCCAAGCTAACCACAATTCATTTTAACCTCCTATCCAAATTATTTTCCATTTGCAGTATTGGATACATTTCTATTTTAACTACATTTATTCCTTTATAATATCAGCCTTCATTTAAGAAGACATTATTAAAGTGCTTTGTGATTTAAAGCAAAATAAATGACTAATAAGATTTGAGGGATTTTAAATCCATTGTCAAAAGTAAATTGTACATCTGCAAAATGTCCAAGAGTGAGTAGTTATATATACTAGGAGCTCAAGCTATGACCTGTACTTAAAAGAAGAGTTTATATAGCATCAAATTATTTAACCCATAAGTCTCATGTACATGGCTGCAAATATTTTAACAGGGAAAAGAACGGTACATAATATTATACAAGCAAGGTTGGCAGTGTTTAAGTGAAAATGTTTCTTTCACACCCGTGTTTCACACCAATTGTAGCCAAAATGTTGGTTCACATTCATGTAGACAAGCAAAACAGTCTGGCTGTAGCTTGCCATCATGGACCCTGTAGCTCTTGTCAGCTAGATAAGGGGTAGCTGTCATTTAAGACATCTAGACACAGACACCAACAAAAACCTCAGGCACACGTGGGGTCCCTGGAGGAAAGTCCTTCAATTTGACTCAAATGTACTGGGTTCCGGGGCACTTGTGTCCGTGGTGCTTGAGTCTCTACCATGGGGTGTCCCTGGAAATTAAAAGACATGCCTCGGAGTGAGCCATACCAACATCAGGTGGCATGGGGGGAAAGGCAGATAACCTCATGTATATCTGCAGCTCAGTTTCAGAAACTCTTCCAATATGGTACTAAAAGTTACGGGAGCAGAGTTTCAGCAGTAAAGAAGGAACAATAAGGTGCCACCCCACACAGCACACAGGTCTGTTCTGGAAGCTTCTTTGGGCCCAGGAGATTTGATCCAGTTTTCCTGTTGTCCATAAGAGTGTTATATTAATGTAATTTCATTTATATTTTTCTTCTTGCTGTAAGATTTAGATGATTTCTGGGATCTGGCACTAGTTACACTGTAAATGTCAAAGATTCCAAGATATGCTATTAATTTTATGTTCCCAACAATTTATAATTTAAATCTGTATTTAAGCAATTATATTAGAGACACTTGCCTGTATCCATTAAAAAATGTCAGGGCCCCAGATCAGTACTTTATGCAAACAGAAGCATTACTTCACAGTAGTGCCTTCCTGTAGAAAGACACCCAGTGTCTGTGAACCCTAAGTACTTAACGGAGTTCACACACAATGTACACATTTTATGCAGTGATAGCCTAAAGTGGGTTAGTATTTTAGAGAATCCTGGCTGATTTTTAAAACTTACCATAATGGCCTTTAAAAAGTTATATCTAAATTTTTTTAAAAATACTGTTCTAATTAAATAAACCACCATTGTCAAAAAAATCCTGTTTGTTCTGTGAAAGAATTGTTTGGTTGGTGTTGATATTATTTCCTAGGAAATGGAAGCCCATTATAAAGGGCCCACATGCTAGATGTCGAACTTCCATCGAATGCCTTCCTGAACTAATCCATGCCTGTGGAGGGAAAGACCATGTATTCAGCTCCATGGTAGAAAATGAGCTACATGCTGCAAAAACAAAGCAGGTAAGGCCATCTCTTAAGTGTTTTGAAGGCTTCTGTACTCTCCCTGGGAAGTTGTACCGAGGATTTTCTAACTTAGAGCACGGGTTATGGAGCCAGGTTCACCTGGGTTTAAATTCAGTCTGGGCCATATGCTAGCCATGGTTGTGTACATGAAAACGTTATATCTGTCTCATGATATAATCTTCACAAGACTTACTCTGTCTTATGAAGATTAAGCAAGATATTATATAAACTATTTTTTATCGTTCTTGACATAGAAAAAGAACTCAATAAATGATACTAAAAATAATGACAGTAATGGTGATTAATAATAGTATTGGCACTATTAGAAGTTGTTTCAGTGTAATGCATATTGAGCTGGCTGTGAAAGGCCTCATGTGGCTTGTCCGTCACTGGGCTACATGGCCCGGGAGCCCTCTACTCCCTCTCTTTAGGGTAGTTTTTCTTTTTTTTACTTGGATATATTTTCATACAAATCCCTCAATTATTTGTTTATGCCCCCCTTTTATTTTAATCGATTTATGGTTCCTAGATTCTAAAGTATTCTTTCAAATACATTCCTCATTTGTGAACCATATAACTTATATAGAAAGCTAAATCTATGTTGTGAAATACAATATGGGTCATACCTGCAGTCTTTGGGAAGGCCAAAAATATGAATGAATGATGCCAGAAATATTTGGCTATCTAGACCTTTAAGTATTAAGCAATTTTACCCTAAACATGTCAAAGTAAACATTCAGGATTTATAACATAATTAACATATTGACTTGCAAATGCAGGTATTAAAGAAACTTTTAAACCATGGTTCTTTTTTTTTCCAAGTAGAACTTATTTTTGAGCAATACTTGGAAAAAGTATAACAGGCATTAACATCTGATTGACTGTTCAGTTTCTGTTGAACCCAAAATTGGCACAAAAAAACTATTTAAATATTCATAATAAATGCCTACCTTTCTAACTAAATTACCATCAAAATTATGAATAAAAACAATGTATTTAAATCAAAACAAGACTCCTGTTAGCAACAACAGATTTCTAACATAACATACATTGATTCCAAGCCAAGTTTTAGATGTGATAAAAAATTAGAACATTGTTATAATTAGTTCAGGGAGAACTCAGAAGTAAACTTACTTAATTTATTTGCATAAATTGCCATTCTGTTATCTTTAAAACCAAATGCAAATTGGCTCTGTCTGATACGATGATGGTTATTTGGCTCAAAAGTGCTTCAATTTGCAGAGCAATCTGGTGTCGGCTCTGCAGTGAGGCGATCCCAGGTAACATACAAATCCTGAATTATTCCAGAAATTAGTATGTTTAAAGCATCAATTTAAGTGCTAATTGCAGTAGTAATGAGAAAAAGCAGTATGACTGTGAGATTTGCATCTTCTACCCCATCAGTATGCCTGGAACGGCTGCTGACTGGCAGAGGATTTGGCTGCTAATTAAATAATTGTATGCATGGCAGTGCTCTTGCCTGATTCAATAGATGAAGATTAATCCTCAGATAAATATGTTTGGCTGGTATTGAAATGTCTTAGCAGTTTCTTTAAAAATAGCTCATATTTTATATACATAAATATATATACATGCATACACATATGCCTAATAAATATGTGTACACATTGTAGGTAGAAAATAATAATATTCAGTCCTACAAAAAGATTACATACATATAAAAGCCAGATATGACTTTTACGGGCTTTGTAAAGTAAAATCCCAATGAGTTGCTAAATAACAGAAAACATTATATTGGCAACTAATTTAATGGTGCAAGTAAAGAAACATATAAAGTGTTGCTTCGTGTGGTAAATATTGTTACTTGTGTTGTCTCACAAAGTTATTAATAAATACTTTACAGAAATTGTGCATTTAAGTGTCCCCTCGACTATTTCTCCCTGCTGGCCAGTCTTAGATGAATCAGGTGGCACAGCTTCTATACTCAGTGACTATTGGTTCTAGCAGGGGATAGACCATCATTTGTATTTGAAGTACATTCTGTGGCTTGACTATTTCAAAATCTAGTTCCAGACATAATTTCAGATTAATAAGACAAGTTATAGGATTGGAGTTGAATTGAAAATTTGCATTGAATTTACATTTTTTTTAATTCCTAAGGGGTAGTTTGGTTCATCAGGGCTACTTCATTTCAATTAAGTATACTCAGCAGCACTAAAGTCTCAGCAAATGAAATCAAAGCCTATAAGGAAATCTATAGTATTTATTAAAGCACTAAAAGGAAAACCAAAATTAAAGTACTAATGTACTTTTAAAAACTAACTGAGAAGATAACAACTGATAAAACAGCCAATGTATTAAGAAGTTTTCTTGACTGATAGTGATATTGCCACATAATTGAGTATATCAGAAAAAGGTGACCTCAAGTTTATATTATTAAATCCTTTCCATGGAACTAGGAATTTATTCATTCATTCAACATTGGTGAGCACTTACTATTTGAATACTGACTTCTCACAAATATCTTTCAATTTAAAGAGCAAGAACAAAATTGGTAAAATATTTTACTCTTTTAATTTGTCATTTTAAGTGATATTCTCAACGTAATAATGCCAAAAAATACATATTTGTTTCTAGAAGGAACTCTAGATTTACAGGATTCCTTATGATATACAGACATATAGAAATGTTTTCCTTTCAGAATAAATGGAATAAATTTAGAATATGGACAAAAAAAAATTGTATAATACATGGTCAGTGGATGATGCTGACATTAACAGATGCATATAAAATTTTTTTCAGGTTGCCTTTACATCCCCAAGTAATGCTCTCCACTAGAAATCACATAAATGTTAGAATAGATGCTTCTCTAAAACAAACCAGTTCAACAACAAACATTTCTAAACTCACTGGTTTTTGATATAGTCAATAACCACTCAATATCAGGAGAGATTTATAATAAAGGGATCATAAGTTTAGATAATAATAAACACTCTTAGTGGTTTTTACAAGAACTTTAAAATGACTAAAAGCACACTATTTCTACACATATACACATGCACACATATACATACAAGTATAAGAAAAGCTAGGCAAATCTGAACAAAATCAGCGGATTATGTCAATGTCAATGTCCTGGTTATAATATTGTACTATATTTGTGAAAAATGGTACCATTGCAGGAAACCGAGTAAATGGTACACAGGATATCTCATATTATTTCCTATAACTGCATCGAATCTAGAATTAATCTCAAAGTAAAAAGTTGATTTTTCTAAAAGCATGCTATTTCTTAGTTGATCACTGCATTTCATGTTAACTATTCCTTTATTAATTTTCCTTTCCTTTTTTTTTTTTTTAGGCATGGAATTTCTTATCTCGCTTGCCAGTGATAAATGTTGGCATAAGTGTTAAAGGCTCATGGGATGACTTAGTTGAAGGACATAATGAACTCTCTGTCTCAACTCTGACTGCGGACAAACGAGATGACAACAAATGGATCAAATTGCATGCTGATCAAGAGTATGTGCTTGAAGTCAGCTTGCAGAGAGTCCACTTTGGGTTCCACAAGGTGTAGTATTTGGTTTCCATTCTCAAATATTTCACACCAAATACCAGCATGCGCCACCACACATATCTTTTATATGACTAATGTGTCCGTGTCATTCATGAATCCTGCTTTCTCAACTGGCCTTAAGCAGCGAGAGTCAGTCTTTTGAAATTAGTCAGTTCTCCTCATGTGCCATTTTTCAACCCCATAATATCTACCTTCCATAAAGAATATATTGCCTAGAGTACTGTTCTCAAAGTATGGCTTACAGACAGTCCAGCAGAATTTCCTGGAGTGCCTTTTTTAAAAATGCACATTCCCTGGCCCCACTCCAGACTGACCGAATCAGGACCCTGATGGGAGTGATCTCAAAATCTATACTCTTAGCCACGCTCCCAAATGATTATTAAGGACATTGAAGTTGTGCCCTAGAGGCACTGTGGTATACAGGAGCCACATCGGGCTAGATGTAGGTGAGATTGAAGCTTTACCACTTAGCTCTATGAATGTGAATAAGACACTTAGCTTTTCTGAGCCTCAGTTGCCCGATCTTCCTGCTTCCTTCACTATAATACATAACAGAGAGCTTTGTCCATGTTCATATAGGCCAGAAATGTACAGTATTTTTATGTTGAATTACTATGCTCTTTTCTATTGCTTCTGATACCAAAATTAATTAGCTAGTCCTCTAAGAATGTTAGTACACAGCATGTGGGCAGATTGGTTTTCAGTACCATAATAATTGAAATAAGAAAGAATTTGTGTTCTTTTTAGCCCAGTAGATTCAGGGTTTTCCCATATTCTAGAATAAGCCCTCAGGGGTGAGGTTGTAGTTCCTTGGTATTCTGCCCTCTGCTTCCACACACAAAATGGTCGGTAACTATCTACTATTACAATGTCCTTTCAGTATTGTGCCTTCAACTCCCACCTCGTTTGATTTCCAATTCTAAAAACCAGTCAGTATTAGTATGAACTGATTGGCTTCTGGCATTTCAGAGGCTTTACTGTGAGCATTTTTTAGATGACTTAATGTATCTCAACTTACAAAAACATAGTAGTAATTTCATAAAGTAATAATAGTAATCATAAAAATAATCATCGTAAAGATAAAACCATGGGGAAAAAATAAAATTTTTACCTTAATATTCTACTTAAAAATAAGATTTTATCATGCTAGAAAAACTCTAATTTTTGTTTCTAAATGCTGTAAAAGATATATTATTCTCTGACCCCTCTTTTAAAATGCCATAAGTGAAACATCTGTCTCTAGAATACTAAGTGAAGTCTGATTGAGAGTATGTCATTATTAGTATATTTTATGCCATAAAGTCATTGTCTTAAGGAATCACTAGAATAATCTTGTATTTTATAAAAATCAATCTAAAATAAAGACTTTAAGTACTATTATGTTTATATCTAATCTTGATTTGTGGTGATTAACATATTTTACAAATTGCTTGACTTACAATTTGCCATTTCTCAGAGAAAGCACTTTTTAATATTACCATATTATAATTTGTGCTTTTTTATGTGAGTGTTATTCTTGAATGGGCGAAAGTGTTTATTTGACATAGCGCTCATTATCTTGAGGGTCCAGAGTCTAGCCTTGATTGGCTTTATTTGTTTGTTTTCCTAAGTATCAGTTCCTTATGAATAAGGCTTTGGAAGATTTGGTTAACATGGTTATATCTCAATTTGTTCATCTACAAGTAGTGTACTAGTATTAATTGTAGGAATGGCATAGAAATTTACTAATTTGATATCAAAATCCAGAGCTTTTTATTTTAACTGAGCCAAATATTCTGGTAGTTACAGCCACAAAGTAGTGTGTATAATGTGCTCTGGGAACATTGAAGAAAAGTAGGTAATAGCATATTAAAGACACCAAACCATAATAGAAGAAAATTAAAAACATCCCAGGTAGATATGCTGAACAGTGTAGATTTAAGGCCTTCAAGTTAGACAACATGGCCTTTTAACCACAACTAAGTGATATAGAAAGTCTAAACATTATTCCTATTTTTTTCTTTTTTTCTGGTTTACAGGGAAAGCAAGAGAGCTGTGCAGTTACCCCTCGATTTCCCAAATCAAAAGATGAAGGATGGTTTTTGATATTAGGAGAAGTGGATAAGAGAGAACTTATTGCTTTGAAAAGAGTAGGATATGTTCGAAATCAGCATGTTGCTTCCCTTTCTTTTTATACCCCTGAAATACCTGGAAGGTAAGCAGAATCTAACCTCCAAAGTTCCGAAAGAATTAAATATGACCGTGATCAGAAAGGTGGTTTTACATTTTTGTTCTGTTTTTATATTTTAGGTATATCTACACACTGTATTTCATGAGTGACTGCTACCTTGGCCTGGACCAGCAGTATGACATTTATCTCAATGTCACGCGAGCGAACATTTCTACCCAGGTCGACACAGAGGTCTCTGATGCCTTGACTGAGCTGGCAGTAAAGTAATCTGACCTGAACAAGCCTTTGAAAGAAGTGGTTAAGAAACCTGGCTGTTGAGTCATCTAGACAAAGTCAAATTACTGATGTTTGCCTTGACGGAATCAACTTCTAACCTCAGGACACCCAGGAAATTGACAGTGGCTGCAGTATTGACTCCAGGACCATAAAGTTAGCTGCAGTGGCCTTTTAATAAATGTTGCCTTTTATAATATTGTTTTCATGGATTTCTTGATATGAAAAATGAATAAGTATGTAGGATAATCTTTAAATTTGTGTATATTTGAGATGATATTTAGGAGTTATCAAATTTCACATCTCACAATGTCTGTTTACATGAATATTGACTTCTTTTTTTTTTTTAAAGGAAAACTATATTGAGGCAATGCAGTGTTAGGGTTTGTTCTAACAGATTTCTAACTCTGCAGCATAAAATATGTAGTATAAATCTGTAAAGGGATGCACAATGTGTCTTGTTAGCAAAGTTTATACTTTGATCACATGTCAGAGTAGTTTCAAGAATTTCTTATAGTCATAAATGTTAATAATATATGATGTAAAATTATATTATGGAGCCTAATGATGATAGCAAAGAAAACAGAATATACTGATCCTAGAAAATGTAGGTACTGTAAACTGGTAGAAATAAATATATAGGCTGCCACTTCAAGACAAGCTGACTCAATTTGTTTGTCCTGCTTCCTTCTCTTTATATCCTCTCTTACTCTTTGCTTTCTCTTCTACTTCAAGACTTTACTTTCATTCTCTTTCTGACATATTCATTTACACAAGGAGAGAAGCACAATCTAATCATGTTATAACAAGTACAGACCGTGTAGTACAATCCTTTGTCCTTATGCTCTTCAGGACAGGTCCGAGACAAGCAGAATCTTTGACGCCTACAGGTGGTTTTCACTGGTGATAAAGAAAATTTCTCTATGTCCAAAGAAATTCCGTCTTAAAAATACTTTTTCAAACTAAAAATTTGTTAAAATTCAATGTCCATATAATATACATTTTGGCAGAATGAAATTCTATCAAGTATAGTGGGTATGAGGTGTCTCAATGACTCTAGTCTCAGGAATTTACTTCACATAAAGAGTTCTCTCTGTTTTTCCTTTGGCAAAGTTTATTTCCTAATTGAAATGCATAGCTTAACCACTGTTTGGGTGGAATTAAGAGAAAATGAAGATTATGTATTCACAACAACCACCAGTCTGTACAGGAACCTGAGGAGAAACAATCGCACTGTCTTCATGTTTCTTTATCAGCGTCATCCCTGTGCAATGGAGAGCAGCCATGTTGGGAGTTGGGGGTCTACTTCACTGGACATATGACACAGGACATAGGAGCAACAAGAAAAATTTTCTGCTATACGCATCAGAGAAAAGAACAATAATGTGACAAATTAAAATAATTTTAAAATTAAAATTATTTAGTGCAGTATAAGCCACAGAGGACACTAGTAAGGCAGGGTGCACTTGGATAGAAGGGTTAATCTTACTCCAGTGAGTGACCAATGCTATGTGTCTATGACTTTATCCACACTCATTACTCAGCAGAAATTTTAGTGTCTTGTAAACAGGACATATGCCAACATAATCAGATTAGTGCTACTACTTTCAGATCTGTAAGTCATTAACGTCTCATAACTTTTAATGGCCAAGAATGTTACCAGTATTTAAATTTTTTCCAAATCCTGATTATTGAGAGAATGTATTCTAAAATCTCTGAGGGATACTTTGTTTTCTGGGGAAGAAAGAGTACACCACCCGAAGGATGGACATATTTGAAACTCGGACTTGGGGGGGGGGGGGGGGCAAGGGCAACATACGTAACCTAAACATCCGTACCCCCATAATATGCTGAAATAAAAAAAAAAAAAAAAAAGTCCTGGCTTCAGTTAGAGCTGAAGCCCTAAAACTTCTAGACAGAAAAAAAAAAAAAGACTTCAATAGGGTGAATTAGCAAGTGCTTTCTTGACTGAAATACCCACAGCCTACTTCATCTGAGACCGTGCATCTCTGGACTGACTGCTACATTGTACAACTCTGACATCACGACATGTCATTTCATATTCCTCTAGAGTTATCAACTCAAAATAATTGAAGTGCCAGTCAAATATTTGTTCTAGGCACTGTGTTGAGTGCTCTGATACCCACATAAATCAGACATAACCTGCCCTCAAACAAGGTAGCCTGGTGATGAAAAGAAGATGTACATAATTATAATAAAGGAATTGCAATAGTAGTGATAGGGAAAAAATGCTATGGAAGTTCAGAGGTAAAATATTACTTAGAAAAATCATGAAGGGACATTTAGGCTGAGTTTTTAAGATGGCTACCATTGGGAAGGCAGAGAGAAAGAGCATTCCAGGTAGAACAGCATTAGCAAGGCTTTGAGATAGCCCAGCCTAGAGTATCCAGGTCTGCATTTTCAGAGACATGAAAGGAACCAAATGGTGAAAAGAATGGGAAAGTCTGTGAAGTAGCCTTGAATTAAGAGAGTAAGGACCACAATTCTTATGTGAATGCAATGGAATTTCTCGACAAGTCACCGGAAGTCAGAGTTTGGCTTTGTAGGAGCTTTCTTTGTGAAAATTTTTCTGGCATACATGTAGAGATGATATTACCAAGCAAGAAAATGTAGCAAGAAGGGCCAAGGAAAGAACATTCAGAACATAACTGCACTTAAAGAGAGGGTTATAACAAAGAACATTCTGAGAATAGAACAGAGAGCCAGTGGGGCAAGGAGAGAGCCAGGATCCTGGGAGCCATGCGTCTATGCCTGTGGGTAATGGGTGCTAAACTCTGACAAGAGGCCAAAGAAGTGAGAACCGAGTTCAGGGTCCCGACTCTGGAGGTAGCAAGTCATCAATGATTGTTAAGAGAGTACGTTCAGTAAAATAGGAAAGGAGGAAGCTTAGATTGCAGGAGGTAAGGCCTTGAGCAGGCAATGAGAAGGAGAAGCAGTGAATGACGTAATTCTGCAGGCTTCACTCAGCAAAGATCTAATGCTACTGTCACCTACAATGAAATGGGTACTGATAGGGTAGATACTACCTGGTAAGAATAAGCTTCTATTTCTTTCCAAGGTTTTCCCCTGCAACCTTCATTCCTGCGTGTGTGTGTGTGTGTGTGTGTGTGTGTGTGTGTGTGTGTGTATTTGCCACCATTACCACCATTGAGCTAAAAACTAAAACTCTTCACACATCCCCAGGATACTTGGGTTGCCCTATAATCTTAGCCCTGTTTTCTTCCTCGGGGCAAGGTGGATTCCAGCTTCAGGAAGGCAGAGTCTACAAACAGACCCAGATCTTTCCTGTTACATTTAGGACCAACTGGAATTCAACTGTCAGACACAACCCCTGCTGTGAAAACACAGGAAACTTTAAGTGTGGGGATTGTTCAACCTCAATAATTAAAAGTTGCAGCATTTAAAGGGGGAACATACATATTTCCTTGACATAGATAAGGAGCCTTTCTCTTCTTGTACTTTCAAATTCCACTGCTAGCTTTGATGGGAAGAGGATACAGTGACATGGGATATTCAGTCACCAAAAATCATGTTTCCTCTTCCCTTTACACACACAAATGACACAACAAAGCCAAAATACACAAGACTGATCCTCTCTCAAATTTTGACATCCCCTTCTAGTGACCTAATCCAGGAGCCTTAGAAAACTACACATCACTTCCCAAGCACATGCTCCACACCAGGACCAAAACCTTGGAGTCATTTTTGACTACGTTTTCTAATCTCAGAGATTAGAAAACCCAACCCACATCTAACCTGTCAACAAACACTTTCAACTCTACCTTTCAAATCTATCAAAATCCAGCTACCGCCCCCACTACCATCCTGTCTACACTGCCTCCTGCTGGCCTCCTGCTGCTACTCTTGCCCTTTTACAGTCTTCTCTACACAACAGTCTTTTGAAACCTAAGTCTGATCATGAGCCCACTCTACTCAAAAGCTTCCAGTGCCTTTGTGGCACTGAAGAATAAATGTGAATAAAAATGTCTATGAGGTCCTGTATGGTCTGTCGCCTCCTCCCCTCACCACCTTCTGACCTCATCTCATTACTCTCCCTCTTGCTCACTCCACACCAACCACAGGGGTCACCTTCTACTTGTTGAACCTGAAGGGCCTTGGCCATGACTGCTCTCTCAGTTGAATGACTCTTGCCCCTGACACCCACATGTCTAACGATCTCATTTTAAATGGCAACCCCACCAAAACCCACTAAACCTCCCTATCCCCCTTGCCTATTTGGTTTTTCTCCTTTGTTTTTTATCAACTCTATAAAAATATTTGTTGGTTTATTATTAGTCTCTCCTGACTAAGCTTCAGGAAGGCAGAGATTTTTGTCACTTTTGTTCACTGCTACATTACCAGGACCTATAACATTGCCTGGCATATGGTAGCTCAATAGATAACTATTTCAATGACTGAATTAACACAGAGGCACCCACAAATTCTATAATACCACACACACTTCAGTTGACCACTTACTCTCCTAGAGATCCCAACAGCTCTCAAAGACTCACCAAAAGCAAGGTACTAACCTGATCCTCTAGTATCTTCTGTCAACAGAGGAAAGGTATACTTAGGTTAATCAGTAGTTTTAGGATGATGATGATGATGATGATTTATGGAAGAGGAGAGTGGGAAGTTTTTATATAGCAATGGATCTTGAGTATTGCAGGTATTTTAAAACTTAAAATGATTATAGAATCTTTTTAGCCTGAGGTTTTAGCTTCCTGTCTTCTATCACCAGACCCCTTCCTTCCCTCCATCACTGTAGCTAACTATTTACAGTGAAAGGACTCTCAAACAGGAACTTCATGTCAAGAATATAGATTGCTAATAACTCTTGGCATTCTGTCTTTCAGAAATTATCCAAAGTGAGTAGGCAAAAATTATTTCATGAGCTAGCTTCTTAAAAAGAAAAACCTGAATTAAGTTTTCTATCTTTTAATTGAGTTTTGCTGAATATAGAACTTGGCTTCAAAAATGCATATTAAGCCTTTGGATTAGCTTTCTTTTTCTGCTTTCAGAAATATAAATCTAAGTTTAAGCAACACAGGAAAAAAAAATTTGAATTTAATAATTGTTAGTTATATTATTTCCAGGTTCTCAAAAATTCTGAGAATGGTAGCTGATTCTGGGTTGTTCTGGAAGCCTGTTTTTTAAGTCATAGAGGATGGTAATCAAGACTTCTGGAAAGATTTATTCCCACAATTTCTGGCTAAGTCCTTCCACTTTTCATCATTGAGCATTCTATATTATTTCTGAAAAATAAAGTTCTTCAAATTTGAGGCCTTTAAATGAAGTTTCAGGGATTCTATTTTGTCTGACTCTTCTTCCCAAGACTTTGCATGCCAATTTGAGAAAGATCTTAAATACTGTTCAGATATTGGATCCACGCTGACCCAAAGTCAAGCTTTTGGCCCAGACAGACACATCTGAATGGATACTTAAATTTTTGTTGTTACTCTTCACTTGCCCTGCAATTTGGAGGCTCTGCTTAAAATGCACTTGAGTAAAGTTTCACAAGTAACATTGTGTCTATAAGTTGATGTTAACCATTTCATGGAGACTTCCTGGAAAGGATGACGGACTGTAGATCAATTCATGCTGGTTGAGCAGAATCATAGCACTTCCTTCTA